TGTAGGTCGACTTTCGTTCTGTTGACACTAGACTAGAATGCTATACTTTCAAAGTAATTGAATTCCTAGTCGGTCGTTGGCTTACTTCAGTTATGTTGTGAGAGAGAGAGAGACCCATATGTTTGAGTGGACTTATAGGAAGTCGATTTCCTTGATGATTACAAGGAACTATTTCACGGACATTTAAATGATTGTACATCCATCCTTTCACTTACAGACTGTCTTTTTTATGATTGCATACATATCATATCACTTATAGACTGTCTTTTTTATGATTGTATACATATCCTATCACTTTCAGACTGTCTTTTTATGATTGTAAACCTATCCTATCACTTACAGGCTTTCTTTTTTATGCTTGTATACATATCCAATCACTTACAGACTCTCATTTTTATGATTGTAAACCTATCCTATCACTTACAGGCTGTCTTTTTTATGATTGTAAACTTATCCTATCACTTACAGACTGTCTTTTTATGATTGTTAACATATCCTATCACTAACAAGACTGTCTTTTTTATGATTGTAAATCTATCATATCACTTACAGACTGTCTTTTTTATGATTTTAAATCGTTCCTACTTGTTACAGACTATCATTTAAATGATTGTAGTTTTAAAAATAATGATTTGTTTGAAATTTTGACTTTTATAGTTTTTTGAAGTACAGAGAAAATGGTGTAGATTTAAGTTGTACTTAAAAGGCGTGTGTTATATAAGCAATTGTTAATTAATAAAATATTTAATATTTGTTGGATCGTTTCTTTAATTTTTTGTTTGTTTGGTCTTTTTTCTTAAATAATTACACCTTTCCAGATTGCAGATGAATGCGTTGACTCTCGTGACATGTATTATCAAGATTTCTCTTCAGGTCTTCTGCAAATTCAAAACGCTGGATTTTACATGATCTATTGACTCGGAAGCCATGCTGACAGTCATTGAGTATTGTTACGTTCTTTTATCAGTGTGGAAAAATTAGTTACAAATGATGAAAAGGAATCTACACATACAGAGTAAACACATATCTGTCTTGTATAGAAAGTCTCTACATTGCTAGCAAAAATAAGTCTCTCATCCTTCTTGTCACTCAATATATATAGCCTGTTTCAAATTCATTTCTCGAACGGCTTACACATTGTTTTTCTTTCTTGATTTGTCTAGGTTTTTCTATAGAATTCTAATAATACAGAATATACATTTTATTTAGTTGTAAACAAGGTCAAGAGCGACTATTTTTTGTTAGCCCACCATACATGTTGTTTCGAGCTTGGGGTCAGCTGGAGTTCATTCACGGGGAAAGATGACGTAAAAAGTCTTCTAAATAACTGGATATTGTGGCTTTAAAGATGCTTCACGATTATGTGCTACAATTAGTTTGCACACCACGCTTGTAAAGGATGTCCTCATCGGAAACAAAATTATATCGAAATTTGCAGAATACGTTGTTTTTCATTAACATCTTTTTTTCATTCTTGTTTTATTTTTAAATAAGAAAATATAATTTAAAATACGACTATAAACTTATTTTTTTCAATGCAATTTTGTCAATTTGTGTTTAATATCAAATTTATACCGGGCTATATTTTGCAGGGTCTGAATGATCCACCTTCTTGTAGATTTGAGTAAAATGCGCTGTTCTCCAGTTAGCTGGAACATTGCCTGTGCCTAGCGACTATTGAAAGAGAAGGTCAGCGAGGGAACGATTTCATTGGCCAATTCTTTGAGCAATCATGGTTTAATGTTGTTAGGAACATATGCCTTTTAGGGTTGTGTAATTTACTAATTTTAAAACGTGCCAGCATAGAAAGCTCTGAACTCTGGATATCTTCCTTGACGGGGTCTTCAGAAGGAACTCAAACACTTAGAATTTTCTACCATCATGAAAGACTGACTGGAACTATTGATTTAGTATGTCCGCATGTCCTTATGGTTCAGGTGACAAAATTGCCGTCCTATCCCACTGGGCAAACCCCAGTGTTTCGGGTCTTTTGGTGCTTGACGAAGCTCAAGAAGCGCTTGTTCTTGGTACCCATGGTCAGAGTGTTTTCCTCTGAGAACATGTTGTTCAGGTGGTTCCAGTGGGATCTGCGCAGTAAGCGTTAGATGTTTCGGCTTAGCCTCAGTACCTCGTCTCTCAGTTCAACCGAGCCATTCTTCTTCATTCGCTTGTAATGGCGAACTTTCCTGTGGATCAGCCTATGGACTATAGATTTCAGCCGATGTCCATGGCTGATTTGTTTTAGTTTTCTAATAGCTAAGTAATTTAAATAAACAAATGTGTTAAAAGGCAAGAAAAGCAAAACTGCATGTCACTTTCTATTGTTTACTATTGATTAAAATTCAATTTTTAATGACTGCATGAAACTTCTATAGAGTAAACAAACATTCTATTGACTACATTGCATATTCTATTGACAACAAGGCGTGTTCTTTTGACTAAAAGACACGTTTTATTGACTAAAAGACATTTCCTATTGAAATTATAACAAATCTCATTTGACAATTCTTTCTTTCATGTCAGTAACTGACAAAATCATAAGTTTAACTAATAAGGACTTCACATATTTGAATTCTGCCAGGGCTTATGCATTTTGCTTTTTTTATAAAAGAAATGATAACAAAATTGATTTGTTATTTTATGTCGCATACTAAATAAGTTTAATATTGAACACAAAGTGACAACATTTTATTAAAAGGAAGAAGTTAATGGTCGTATTAAAAGTTTATGCTTTCTCTATCCAAATAATACTTGTAAAAAAGATGTTAATGAAGAACTATGAATTATGCAAAGGCCGAAAGATTTTTTTTTTTTCTGATTAAGTCATCCACTTAAGTAGATCTTAATGTATGTGTAGGATTGGCATTTTAAGTACTGTATACGGAAACAGACACTTAACACTGAGTCTAAAATACAATTAATGAAAAGTTAAGCGTTCTCATTGATGTCGCATTATTTTGTTTGATCTCACATTGTCGCTTCTAGCGAAGGAGTTCTTTCCATTTAAAGAAGACATGATAAAAGGAAGGTGCATCGAGGATATATTTTAATTTTGAACTTTTAATTCAACCTAATGTTTAGTTACGGTTAAGGTTTCTCCCCAACCACAATCAAAATATTCATGAGAGAAGTCAGTTTGTGCATTGCATTTGTTTTTTAATTCATACTTAAAAAAAAAAAATACATTAAGTAAAATAGATTTCTTCCTAAATCTGCAATGGATAAACTGATTAGCTTGATGCTACTTGCAGCTGTTTTGTTTTCTAATGTTCAAGGTAAGTTCATAAGCATGCCTAATCTGTTCGATTTAAAAATATTTAAGTATACAATGTCATCTGTAACACCATGGCTAGACTAGCTGAGCTTTAAGGAAAACCCTGTGGTTGGGTGGATTGTCCCAAAGATAATATTTTATGTGGCATATGACGATTAGTGTACACTCTGAAGATAGGCGCACTTCTGGATGCACAGCACCACCACCCCCCCCCCCCACAAAAATAATTGCTTGACCACACCCACCTTAATGTTCTTGTCTCTAAAATTAAACCTAAGAGGTGCCCCTTAGTAAAATGATTTATTTAAATTGAAGAGCTTATGAAGTTTGATGTAACACCATGGGTAGACTAGCTGAGCTTTAAGGAAAACCCTGTGGTTGGGGGGATTGTCCCAAAAATAATATTTTATGTGGCATATGACGATTAGTGTACACTCTGAAGATAGGCGCACTTCTGGATGCACAGCACCACCACCCCCCCCCCCCCACAAAAATAATTGCTTGACCACACCCACCTTAATGTTCTTGTCTCTAAAATTAAACCTAAGAGGTGCCCCTTAGTAAAATGATTTATTTAAATTGAAGAGCTTATGAAGTTTGTCTTGTTTATTCAAACATATTTGAATTCTAGTGTCATACAATTTCACATTCAAAGCCTATTGCATTCCAACCTACTTATATTAAGCTGACTTTATTCCCTAGAGTAGTGGGCCAGCCATATTTCTTGGCAACACCTACAGATGTCTTGTATACATTATACATAGCTTTTAGAACTAGGGCAAATAAACACAAACCTAAAATCAGTGTTGTTCTCAAATCCGTATAGTATCATGTTTTTTAAAATTTTATTTCAATTTACGAATTTTTTTATTATGATCCCTGAATGTCCAGCACAACGCATCGAGACATACATTAAGTTTTGAAAAGACAGATGTAATTGGATTTGTTTTCTCAACTGTATAACTTCCTAAATTTAGTAAATTATTTGCATGGTTTCAAGAAAGGAAATGATAATGATAAAGATGAACATTGCATGTGAATGTATGCTTGTTGTGTATTATGCTTTTGTGTAAAGTGTTTAACACATTTAAAATAAAATATTATTCTCTATATATGGAATTACATTTTGAAATGATTGTAAAGTATCTAAATGTTCCTCAGGCCATGAGAAGAATAATCAAAGCAAGATTAGGCAAATCGCAAACACAAGGGCACTATGTAAAAATAAAAAAGGTTTGGATATATTTTTTAAGTTAAACAATTGATAATCTGTTTCAAGAATATGTTATATTATTTATGATTTCTTCTTATATTTCATACAAACACAATGTACTGACTCTCAGTTTAATTTATCTACCTTCTATTTTAAGCAAGATTAAGAGATCGGATAGCATCGACGCCATTTATAGATAAAAACCTTTATCTTATCCTTCAGGTCGAATATGTATCGAGGAGTTTCAGTTAAATGTTGATAGCACCAACGGTATCGTCACACACGACCTTATACAAAATGCAACCATTGCTTTAAATAGACTCAGCATCAGCACATTGAATTTCACATGCTCTGCTTGTGGTTCGGCAATAAGCCGCATTGCCATTAAACATAATGACAAGATGTTGAATGGAACAGAAGGTGTCGAACGAACAACCAATTGTATCAGGATTGGATACGTCACTAACGTAACAAGAAGGGGACGATACTCTTGCGAAGTAGATAAATCTCATTATAAGACAGTTAAAGCTTCAGTCCGCTTAAGATTTAAATGTAAGTGATGTGTGTGCACAAGTAATATAGACTTTATATTTAACTATAATAACACATGGTATCATAAAATATCAAATTACGATAGGAAATTTTTTGCTATAAATTTTGAAATATAACATGGGATTCAAAAATATAAAGCAATAAGTTATAACATATTTCATAGGAATGGTGAGTGCTATTAACATATTCAATATTTTGTTTAAAAAAATTAAATTCGTTTGTAAATGTGGGATACATTGTTTACCACATTATTGACACATTCGATGACAATACATCGCTTTATTTTGATATTAAATGCTTTTATAGTTTAACTTACTTTTGCAAAAGTATTTTCACAGATTCACCTATTAATGTACCTAACATGGTAGATGGGATTAACAAATTCATAAACTCTCTGATATGTTATAGCTTAAATTTAATGACCGTCTTTGATTACAGTTTGGTCATGCATTCTTCAAAAAGAAATAGCGAAAAAATGTATTGGACTCGTGTGACAGAAAACACACATACTCACATTTTTGGTGATGTTGCTGCAGAAGTTAGGTGTTTTTTAGTTCCATTACCCTCAAATTCTGTTATTATTTTAATGCCAACTTGTTAATTATAATTACTTTTTTGTAACTCTAATAAAGGCAAATTTGATTTGTTGCTTTCCACTGATACAATGAGGGTAATTTCAGCACATTTGCAATATACTCCTTTTCTTGAAGCGTTCACGCAAAAAAAATTAATTTCCTTATACGATTATTTAAATAATTTATTCATGGATTTAATGATTGAAATATATCTCTGACCATGGGATTTCACCAAAACGTTTTGTCTCAAATCACTTATTATATTTGTTCTCTTTTTTAAATAGAAAATATCGAATGGGGATGCATAAACAAATTTGACGTACAAATATTTAGTAATAAATAGTTATTTAAATAATATGAAAGATTTTAATATCTGTTTTTTCACGATTAGTGAATCACGAGTTACTGAATCCACAGAAGACAGAGGGACATGAGGTTTTCTACGTTAAACTATATGGTGTCATTTCAACTACGTTTAGTTGAAGGTATCATAATATGCAAGCTTTTTTTTTAAAGCATGATGTAGGAAATTGCAAATTAATTATGATTATATCAAATTTAAAGTACCGATTTTTTTTTCACATGAAATGCTACACCAGCCCTAGCAATGACCACTGAGGCGCAAAATTTTCTCACGGAAACAAAAACAGGTTGAAAATATATTTTATTTTCTAGTTCATTAACTTGTTAATATATAAAATACATTTTCCAGTATAGTATCGTTATAACCAATTTAGTATTTGAAATTACTCTTATTTTAATATAAATTCAAACTTGTGACTCAACAAAATTATTTAAAATAAATGCATATTTAAAATGAATAGAAAAAAAAAGCCACACCTCCCATAAAAAACACCAATAAACCTGTTGTACTATGTCTAACTATGAACACATTCAAGAAAAAGTGTTGTTTATTGGTTTTTTCCGTTTGTTGTTTTTTTCCGTTTGTTGTTTTTTTCCGTTTGTTGTTTTTTTTCGTTTGTTGGTTTTTTCCGTTTGTTGGTTTTTTCCGTTTGTTGGCTTTTTCCGTTTATTGGTTTTTTCCGTTTATTGGTTTTTTCCGTTTGTTGGCTTTTTCAGTTTATTGGTTTTTTCCGTTTATTGGTTTTTTCCGTTTGTTGGTTTTTTCCGTTTGTTGGTTTTTTTCCGTTTGTTGGTTTTTTCCGATTGTTGGTTTTTTCCGTTTGTTGGATTTTTTCCGTTTGTTGGGGTTTTTTTTTTTAATTATTTTTTTAAAGTCAATCATGTGTTAGTATCCGTTTTAATATAATAATTTTTAAAAGTGATATTTTCAAATCGCCATTCAATATTAATTCTGCACATTTCATTTTCAATTTAATCTTTACAAGTCACTGAAACAACAGCAATGACAAATAGCATGATTAATTCTACCGATTTAAAGTTGGGTATGTATCTATTAGTTATTGAAAAAAAAAAAAACATTTCCAACTTTCTTACTAAAAATGTTGTTCTTTCTAAATTTAATTTTCGCATTACCATATTTAAATCAAGGTTGTCTGCCTCGTATATTATAAATCACATCTATTTATAAATTTTCAACTCGTAATGTTTAAAGCAAAAGTTGATATTTAAAAAGAAATTAAATACCACAATATATATCTAGAACAGTTTATAAATGGTTTTTTTTTCTATTACTCATTCAGAGGTTGTAAGACTTGACTCCAATCTAACAAACACAACAGAATCAAGAGTTTGCTATCTATTTCTTGGGTTCTTACTTTTTGCAACAATGGCCACTTTAGTTGTTGCATTCAGATATAGAAGTAAGACACTTAGTATATTGATACAATGTTACTGGTGATCTACTTTGTCAAAAATACTAATAATAAGTTGTTATTTAATTTCTAAAATTTTTTTTTTTAATTTCATGTGTTATAACTCTAAAACTTCAAATCGATAAGATTTTATGATCATCAATATAGAAATAATTCATAAATTCAAAATGTGTCTATGAACATTTCGTTTTTATTATTGCAAAGGTTTAAAATAAAAAAATAAAATATTTTTAAAAGGTGCCTTTTTTAAAATTCTTTTAACTGTAAACTGAAAAGTAGATATAATAAAATATGATTATTTACAAATAAGTATAAAATTAAATATTTTCAGGAAAGTATCGTAGATATCGCCATAATTTTATAACGTAAGTATTATGATAGATATACCATGAAAAAATTTGAAAAAGAATTAAAAATAGATTCGTCTCACATGAAATCACACAAAGGCGTGTCGCTGAGGCTGGAACAACAGGCGGTTTTAAAACATAACCTTCACTTTCTTCTTCAGCTTTACGAATTCTCTCCCTTAACATTCGGCATCAAAGATTTTAAACATTTGTTTTTCTTATTCAAGCCAATAAACATTAATTAAAGACATTACTCTCGGATAACTTTCCAGGTCTACCAACGATGATTTACTCGACCATATGTGACTAACATTTCTTTACAAAAGAACAGCATGTCTAAAACATGTAGATTTGGTTTAAATAATCTAGTTTTGAACTTTTTAAATTCCCATATCTAGTTAGTTTGGTGTGTATCAAAGCTTCACTCTCATTTATCAAATGTTGTTACTACATTTTAAATCACTGAATATTATCCCAGAAAGATGAAGTTGGAGGTGTAGGTCTGAGCTTCCCAAATAGTCGTTTCAATTAAAGAATTCATATTTGATAAAACAATTTTTGTTTTAAAGAGATAAGAAATATTTTAAAGGAAAAAAGAAGATTAAGAAAAATCTTGATAGATTAGTTGTTTGATAGTTTTTTTTTGTTTTTTTTTTTCTTTTTTTTTTTTTTTTTTTTTTTTTTTTTTTTTTTTTTTTGTTGTTGTTGCTTTATGTTCTTTAAAAAAAAATAATTATACAATTTGTTTCATGAATGATATTAACCACATCGTAATAGTGACAATTAATCGTTATTGATGTGAAAAATATATGCTCTTATTCTTAACATGAATAATAGCGTTACAAATCTTAATACTCGTTAATAAATGTTTTACCTTATCACTACAGCAATAGTTTTATCATAAATCCATTTTTTTTTTTTAAAAGAAATCTTCACGAGGCATTGATAATTTTGTCGTGGAGACATTACACAATTTTTTATTTTTTATTAAATATATATTCTAGTTAAAATTCATGTTTATGCTCACCACGTTTGTATATGTTGAAACTCTTAAGTGCCCTCTGATTTTTGTAATTGCAGGATTTCAAGAAGACTAGCTGACCCTAATGAAAAATCAAGACATCGCAATACTCAAACTGTTGAAGGTAAAATCTCATTTAGTATTGCTTTAAAACACCAATCAAACCTCGAATAATTTTAGTTTAACAATACATGTGTTCCTCTCTATAACACGTTTATCTATTCTCGTATAGATGCGTACACAAATCCAAACTGCCAGGCAGCAAAAACCGAAGTCCACGACCACCCTCTTAGACGGGAAGTTGAACCATTATATGTGAACTCAATCCTACCGCCAGTGGTATGCACTGTTATAGTATAGCCTATGTCCTGTCACCTGTATGCATTGTTATAGTATAGCCTATGTCCTGTCAGTTGTATGCATTGTTATAGTATAGCCTATGTCCTGTCGGTTGTATGCATTGTTATAGTATAGCCTATGTCCTGTCAGTTGTATGCATTGCTATAGTGTAGCCTATATCCTGTCAGCTGTATGCATTGTTATAGTATAGCCTATTTTCTATGACAGTTGTATGCACTGTTATAGTATAGCCTATGTCCTGTCAGTTGTATGTATTGTTATAGTATAGCCTATGTTCTGCCACTGGTATTAACTGTTATAGTATAGTCTATGTGCTTTAGCTGTTATAGTGTAGCCTATGTGCTTTAACTGTTATAGTATAGCCTATGTGCTTTATCTGTTATAGTATAGCTATGTGCTTTAACTGTTATAGTATAGTCTATGTGCTTTAACTGTTATAGTATAGCCTATAAGCTGCAAGTGTTATTAATTGTTAAAGTATAACCTATGTCTTTTCGTAATGCTACTTCAACGTAGACCTAAAGCGTTACTTCTCACCTTCCCCTTTTTTATTTCACTACTGACGACAACTATTAAATGTGTACTGCCAGTCCTGTTTACCCATCTGTCACGTGATTGGGATGGGTTGTTTACGATCGAATACCTTCTAACTTGTTCTAAAGACGCAATTTCTAAAAAAAAAATTATAAAATTCCAAATTTATCTATAAAAAAGGCGTCTGCTTTTCCTGCCCGATAGGAATAGATTTTTCCTAAATGTTGATGAAATGTCATATAATTATAAGATTGTTCACTTATGTGTATGAGTAAATATCAGTATCTTTTGAGAATTGTACTGTTTACCTTCCTGTGTGGCCAGTTGATATAGTTTTCCCTCATATTTAATGGCCAAAGGTCAATTTCTTGATTTGATTTTAGAGCTTGCCCTCTAATACATGTGTTGCCGTCCAAGGCGAACGAGTTCCATCCTCCTGAGGTGCTTGGCTTTGTTTGAGCTTAAGACCAGTAGCTATTGGAATTGAGTGGGTTTAGTCCGCTCAGATACCCAGCACCCACCAAATAGCTATTTGGATCTGTCTTTTTATAATAAATTGAATATTGTTAAATTCATAGCTTCAGTGTCGTTTGTCTTCGTATTTATGGTAATCTTATTACATTTTCAAAAATCATGTAACGCAACGTAAGAGGACATATATAGATATGTTTTAATGGCTGTTTCATTAATGCACTGGTAAAGATATTCATAGATAGTGTCTTCATCTTAAAAACCAAATATTTTTTTATTTGGTTCTCAATTCCTAAAGACTAATTCAAATACATAAACTCTAGAAAAGTATTTAAAGTTGTTTGTGTACAATTGTATTATGTATTATAGTATAAATTGTCCAAAAATCAGTCATTATTTCAAGGGATTTCTTCTAGATAGTGCAGATTGTACGATAATATTTTTTAAAATAAAGGAGTACTGCTTGGAGAATTTAAATTTATTTTTTTGTGTAAATCTATTTGATGAAATTTAATAAAGAAACACAAATAACGTATCTTGAATTAGTTTGTATAAAATACAAGCCATCTACATTTCTGTAAGTAGCAATGAAATATATGTATTTTCGTTTTTCTCTGCAAAAAAGCATACGATAGTCGAACCCATTTTTACTACATATGAAATGCAATTTATTTTTGATTACATTTTTAGACCTCAATTGTTTGTTTGTCTGTTATTGTAGGAAACTGACCGCTATATGAGCAACGAGGGTCTTATTTACATATCGCTTGGTTCTAGTCTCGACATGATGACACAGGGACGGCCAAAGAAGATTAGAACTAAGAAAGGAAAGATCAGCTACTCCGCCATCGACTACGACAAGTCGGGAAAAGTTACGATCGTCTCAAAAGTGGACAATGAAGATGAGAATGAAAACAAAATCTATCAGAACTGTCCGCCAATCGTACGGAGAATAATATGATTCAGTGAACATTCTTCATTTCCTAGAAAAAAAAAAAAAAAAAAAAAAACTTTCTGTTTCATAAAGCTACACAAATAAAACATGTTTTCAAATATGATATTGAGTTTTTATTTTTGTGGCAAAATCATTTTGTTTTATTTTTTTAGTAAATTATTCTTATTGTTGTTTTAGTTTTGTTTCTTTATAAACATTCATATAATACGAAATGAGGACTTTTCAAATCGAAAACAAAATTTGTTGATGCATTTTCTTGTATCAAAATTATAATTTAGTGTATTTTGAAGCTAACTGAAATAGATCAATGCCTTTAGAATATGTGACAACGCCCAAGTAAACTAACTTGCATTACAGATATAAAAAATGGATTCCTCTGTATTAAACACAATGTTTGCTTCAATGTTTTTAAGATTAATAGTATATAGAAATCATTGGGACTATTCACAAGCAAACAGATAAACACACACACACACACATATATTTATATATATATATATTTATATATATATACATATTTATTTATATATATATATACACACACATATATATATATATATATATATATATATATATGTATATATATATATATATTTATACATGCACACGCATTTATGTGAGTGTTTATAATTTATAACCATTCTATTTTTATCACCTGTAAGGGTGATACATCGCCACTGGACTTGTATAATTAGATGATTTCCTTGTTAGAAACAAAATGGTTTTCAAATTTTTAATATTATATTATAAAGAAAATTAAATCGAAATATGTTTACTATTAAAACAAGATTTATTTTGATTTTATGGGAATATATTTATTTTATCTACCAATGACTGTGAGCTGTAATGGAAAATAATGACGAGATTAAAATACAATTGGGCTTGAGGAATATTCATTAATCATTGTAACTATAATTGAGAACAATGTGGATGCAGTGACATGGTAATTGAACGCTCGATGAAGTCATACTGATTTTGTTAGATTTAGTGATTAAAAGTCACAAATTATATTGAACTGGTTTCAAACAAACTCTTAAGACACCACTGATCACACGTTAAGCAGACAATTAATAAAAAATGACGTATATAACTTTAAACATTAGATTGTGCTAGTTGCCAAAAAACTTGTAACCAAAATGGGCGTTTGTAAGTTTTACTGTCCAGATTGAATTGCTTACAAGATAATGTGTAGCAAACAAATATATTCGTTAAAAAAAGTCACTCTTTTAATATAATTTTATTTGTGAGTTTTTATTGCGCACAAGATTTTATTTTTTTCTCCATTTTTTGGGGTATTTTTACGCCATTTCCCCGACAACTGATGAAGTGGCTTGGTCTTTTCCTAGTAAAAATGAGTAGTTTTGCATGAAAGAGCCCTTCACTGGCCTCTTAAAAAAGTTTTGACACCCCCTCCCTAAAAGACATATAAAGTGGTCATGGCACTGGTGCCGGCCATCCCAGCAGGCCATCCCACAGAAACCGGGTCGATTGATCAGGGCAAAACGCTCACTGAACACTGATTTCACCTCTGACAACCCCATAAAAATTACACACAAAACAATTGCAAATGCTTCACTGTGCCTCGGTGTAACACAGTGCAGTATGAAAAATCATTCTTTCCAAGCACAATAATTGCATGGAACCACCTGGACAATGCCGCTGTCAACTCGACGTCGGTCGAAAGCTTCAAGGCTATCATGGCCTTTGCTAGGAGCTGTTAGAATAGCAACATCATTCCCCCAACCGTTGCACAGATGTCAGTATATGGATTCAGCAACGAACACTACCAGAACCAGAACAGAATCATGTTATATCACCAGCAAAGAAATACGCCAAGAGCTTGCATAGCATTACCGACTGGATGAGCTTTTTAATACTTAACTAATATGGAACTAAAACAATTCATATATTCATAAAAATAGAGAAAGCTTTTAGAAGTTTCTTTTAAGTGTTTGTTTCCTACTTTTGTTAAACCGTAACAAAAAAATACAATACAGTCATATGGCTGCTATTATATTTGTTGGTTGACAATACTTAAAATCTGACTCATCCCATTGGGATTTCCCCCCCCTCCAAATAGTTTTTGTATGCATATGAAGACATACGAGTTTACTGTTTAAAAATTGCATTTTTGAAATATTTCACAACCACATAACTTTTTTTTTCTTGTGAGGTTCTTTTAAGTTTACGTTTTTTTGTAGTCTGAAAGAAGATTCTCATCATGGTGTGTTTTCAAAAAATTAAGTAATGGACAAACCACGTCATTGTTTTATATTGAGTTTATGAGTGTTAGAAAGACCCAATCATACAAGGGAAAATAAGTTAATGATCGTCTAAGTTCGAACTTTCTCTAAAAACAAAAAAATAGGGACTAAATTCATTGAGTGTTATCTCATTTTAAATTTCTACAAGTTTTATTTTTTTTTAAATTGTATACTGCTTACAGCCTAACAGGGCCTGATTTATACTTTTGGTATTGTTTGAAAATACGCATTGTTACAAGTGTCCTCGAGGACAAACCTGCAGTTATTTTTAAGGCGTATTTTTGAAAACATTAACTATCCCAACACAACTAAAGAAAACACGCAAGTTGAAGTTTGTGGGTCAGGCTGACAGGGTTCAATAATTTCATAGTGTTTTATGCACAACGTTTATGAAGACAGTTTGAGTTTAAACACTTTAATTTAATAAATTATCATGAAGACACAAAAGATGCAAGGTTTTAGACCATGCGAATAAAACAATTCATGATAAATCGATGAACAATATTAAAATGAACAAAACGAATTATTTTTGGATTATTTTCATTCTTGAAAGGATGTTTTTCCAATGCTCAAAATTTACGTTTCCATTTTGATTAAAACTTTTGTTTTTAAATAAAATTAGTGTTTACACAAGATAACGATGATACGTTTACTTTCATTTAGCTGTAACGTGGATATGATTCTCGATGGTATAGAAGTAATCAGGGACATGTTGGCACATTGAAACACGTGACGAACGGTGTAGTAAGAAAGGCCCGGAGGCACCCCCCCCCCTCACACCGGAGATTGTAATAACTTTTGATTTACCCAAAAAGGCCCATGACAAATGTTCGTCGCGTGGTCGTGGGTCAGCACGTCTCTGGACGTGATAATAAATAATTAAACAGATGCATTTACTGTTCTTACGATCTGTTAAATTTGTTTAATTTTGCTTAAGGAGTATAAAACACAAACCGTGACTTTCCGATTATAGGCTACTCCTGATTACAAGCAGCACTCATAAAGTTTAGAGCTGTTGAAAAACTATACCGATTACAGTTACATTTATCGTTTAAAATATTATTTAAAGGGGAAAATGTGAGGTTTATTCTCTAAATAATAATGTACTTAGTGTATGTCCCAGCTGGGCACAGTTGTTTTTTGCAGGCGTTCCGGGTGTCGAGTATTTTGAAATCAAGAAGGGCTGCTACGGAGCATAAAATTACATCGTTACAGGTTTAATAGTTTAATATTAATAGTTTACAAATTTAAAGTGCTATTTTACACGAGTTAATCCTTTGTTTTATTCAAAGAAAAAACTAGCTTAATCATTTTAATATATAGCTTTTAACATTTTTATAAGTTATATTAATTGCATATTATATTATCACAGGTATTTTGATATCCAGCAACAATGAAACTAACTTTGAGTACATCGTGGAATTAAACGGGTCTTTCTCAGGACTCCTTTCTGTTAGCTCTTCATCCCCTTTGCTAAAAGATGTTCACCTGGACAACACTTTCTATAACATTGGTGAAAATAAAAACATCAATTTTAAAATAACAGAAGGAAACGATCGCCAACAATATCTCGTATATTTCACCATTTCGAGAGTCATCCAATCGTCTCAAAAAACATACACCATTCGGGTTTGTAATGAAGAAAATGAAACGCTTGGATTTAATGTAGTGATTAAAACTCCAGGTTTGTTGGTAATATCTATTACTTTTATTATTTTAACAATGAGTATACGCCTTTCATCAGATGATATCTACTATAAAACAACTCAGTTTTAAGATGTGTGTATGTATGTATGTAAATTCAAACAATAATTACAAGAAAACCTACCAGTGCATTGCAATAACGTAATCATGGACATATCTCCTGACATTTACATGGTTCTTGGAGAGTTTGGTTCAAATCCCTTTATTTCAAAAGATATAATTAATAAATTGTAAAATGTCAGTAAATAATAATAGAAACATATTAATTTCAGATATCACCGCGGGACGTTCAAGTTAAGTTATTTTTGGTTTGCGCATTAAAAAAAGCCCTTGCGTTTATGAAGACCTTTATATGAAAGAAGATATATTTTTTTCAAGTTGCATTTGTCTTTAAATCACGTTTTCTTAGCTGGGCTTGTTTACAAAATTAACTTTAACCGGATTATACCAAATCCAATGTTTAGACTAGTTACTAAAATCTGGCTTTCGAGGGGAGAACAATTTTATTTTTTACTGACACTTTAGCGAAGCGCTTTGATTTTGCCCTATATTTATCTGCAAGCTTATAACGCTATAGAGAGATTTATGTTTTTTTATTGTTTTTTTTCAAATTTAAACCGAACAAGCCGTGTATTCTGGGAATTCTACTAAATCACGCTAATTGTTGCTATGTTTGTGTGTTTCTTTTTATGTATTTTAATTGTCTAATTTTTTAAGAAGAATACCCAACAATGTTTTGTAACAACTTTTAACATGGTTATTAATCTTAAAAAACTTGGTGGTTCCTGGAAGGTTTGGTCAAAATATTTAATGTTTATAGTACTTTTTTTTTCAAATTAAATATTATTGACTAAGAAAATCATGAGATAGGACTGTATCTAAAGTAAACCCTTGCTACTGTTTATGATTTTCAACAATGTTTATAATAATTTTTCGAATACATATTTTATATTTCAGAAACCATACACTTTTGCATTGACCGGAAAAAGTCTCTGAAACGAACAGTAAAATTCAATCAGAGTATTAGAGAACATGTTTGTCTTGTATCTAACATCCCAATC